CAGTGGGGGATGCGCGGGGCGGCCTGTGTGCATGCGATGCAGCTTCATCAAACGCCCCCATCCCGCTCTCTTTCCACTGGCTTTGTACACAAAGTGCCAACGCGGACTGGAGGTGTGCGGTAATGATCGACGCGAGCGACTCGGCTATTTATTATCGCTGAATCAACCACGCGTTACACTGGCACTTCGTAGCGCTGTGAGTGGACGTCTACCCAACGGAATAAACACACGCTTCAAAGCCGGGGTTGGTTTGGTACTCGCAGAAGTGATGGGGGTTTCGACATTTCCACGCTGCATTTACTATGAACGATAAAATAAAAACTTAAACCAAACCTGCTACATACGTATTTGCAAAGTAGAAAATATTTCTTTATGCAATAAAGTACACAAACACATTCGTAACATTTTTTTCAGTATATCACCTGCGTAAATCTTTCTAATTTTATATCCCAAGACATGAAATCTAATGTAATTTGCATTTTAATGAAGATTAAAAAATTTTGAATTTATTAACAGCCTCAAAGGACTTTAATATTGAATATTTGTTCGTCTTTTAATTCATTTTCATATTACATTTCCACTACAGCAGAGTGGTATGTGTAATTAATAGGAAGGCTACAATATTAAAGAGAAAGGAACAATCGACAGCGGTACGTGACCCATTTGTTTATGTACTATCCATCCATTTGACTGGAACGGATACCAAAAATCAGGGAAAGTTATCAATCCAAAACACCAGCCACTAAAATTCTGCTTCACGTAGAACCTGGTTTCGACGTAGCTACGTAGTTAGACCCCAAAACCCGAACCGCACGACCTCCCGACCAGCAGCAAAGACAATGTTTCACTGCACCATCGCAACATTCATTTCCTAGCAAACGGCTTTCCAAAATATTTTCTTAATATTCCTCTAATTCTCGTCACACATTTTGATTGGCCCACAAAATTATTAAACTGGCTCCATACCTCACCCCGCGTCTTCTTTGTTCTGCTCATTCTTGAAAACGCAGTCTGTAATTTTGTCTGGCCGTCCCACAATGCACCCTTGTCCCCGTTCGACGAAATCAATTTTGTCCGCAGCGACCGCCGACGCGACGTGAGAGAAACCGGTCACTAAAATTCTTCCCCGCAAAGAGACTGGTTTTGACTCTTATGTAGCTAGTGCGAAAAATTAACAAACATCTGACTCGAAGTCTGTGACCTCCCGATTTGAGGAGCTGAGGAGGTAGTGGCAGTGCTTTCACCGAGTCATTCTACCCTAGCTATCGGCTTTCCTATAATTGAGGCGGTAGCTAGGAGAAGGGCCCGTAGGACGAAGAGAGTATCTTTCGGAGAATGCAGAATTGAATTTTGCAAATTCTAATCTAAATCCAAGGAAATTTTCATAATTTTATCTCTATTCGTTAGGTTGGTAGGGCAATATTCCGTTTCATAAAGAGAGTTCCGCAGAATATTGCACTTTAACCTGTCATTCGAGTTCCATTTAATCCGGCGAAAGTTACTGATATTTGAATCTTATGTGGGTACTGAAAAGAAGAGAGCAAAAAATGTTACCAAAACTTTCTTGAAGAGTACACTCTTCAAGAAGGGTCTACTGGAAGTGTCGACAAAAGTGAATCCGAATTCGATACCTCACAGGATGAACTATGAGGTAAAAAAAAACAGGAATCGAACTACATTATAATTTGTACTAGCAGTTTATAATAAATGCAAATTAAAATTTAATAATATTTATAATTTTCACCATTTGAATAATAAATATAAAGTGTTCTCCAGAAGAAGGGCCTTTAACACATTTTTTTCTTTTTCCACATGTTTGAAATTCAGAATTTAATTACGTTTTAAATGGAATTAAGTTTAAACATTTTAATTTTTTAATTTAATTTTAAAATAATATGTAATTTGCAATTAAATAGGCGAGCGTGTAGGAAGCAATGATCGAAAACATCCAATGCGATTATCTCAAAACACATTTTTGGAGCATAAGCCCTTCTTCTGGCTACCGCCTCAATTTAACGTCCTCTAATTCTCGTCAAACATTTCACTAGCCTCACAAAATTACTAACTTGCCTCCTTCCCTCTCCCCGAGTCTTCTTTGTTCTGCCCGTTCTTTAAAACGCAGCCCGCACTTCTTTCTCGGCGCCCCACAATGCAACGCAGTCCCCACTCGACGTGTCAATTTTCTCCGCAGCCCCCGCCCCCGCGCCACGCCGTCTCTCCGCTGCTTCGCGACGGCTGTTCCTCCCGCACCTGCGCGTTCTTCGCCGCCATTATTCCGCGCCGCTTTCCCCCTCGCAGGCCTGCTGCTGTCCTGCTTTCCGGCGGGCCCCCGCGGCCGCGGCGCCCACCATTCAGCCCCTCCCCATTCCGCCCCCCTCCGCGCCCATCGCCGCTGCCGTCCGCCTGCCCTCCGCCCTCACCTAGGAGGCCCTTTGTGCCCCCCTCGCGCGGTGCTCCAGCCCCTTTGCGTCCGCACAGCATCCGCTGTGTCGCGCGGCCGAGGGCGCAAAGCGCCCCCGAGGCGACGGGATGCGGTGTTAGTAGAGTATCAGTGCCGTATTGATGTTGGCGGAGCGGTGGTAATGCGTGTGAGTGGAAAGGTGGTAGCGGTAGTGATGGAGCTGGAGATGGTGTGATAGCGGCCAGCAGAGGCGGCGGCATGGCGGACAGTTGGATGATGGGATTTCACGGTGGCGGCGGCGTGCTGAAGACGAAAGTTGATGGAGTGGTGTGGTGGTGGAGGTGGTGGCAAGCGGCCGGTGACGGGGGGGGGTTTTGGTGGTGTCCGATGGCGATTGTGATGATGGGATGGGAAGGGTGGTGGATGCGACGGTGGAGAGGGGATGTAAGTGGGGGCGGACGTGCGGATGAAGGAGGTGTGGTGACAGTGGTGTTGATGTGGATGGTGATTTTAGCAGTGGTGAGTTCACCATTTGATGGAAAGTGCTATATTAATATAAGAGTGCACATTCATCTTTCAAGATGACGTAGTGCATATGGCTGGGGCGGTGATTGTGAGGGTGGTGGAGGCGGTGGCGGGAGATGTGTGATGGTGAGATCGGTGCCGTTGCCAGTGGCGGGCACAGGCGATGGTGGAAAAGGCGTAGAGTGCGACGCAAGGGTGTGCAGTCGACTATGAGAAGTTATTGTCACCTCCGAGATATTCAGTTTGTTGGTTGGTACAAAGTACTAGTCAGTTGAGAAGAAAATGGGAAGTTGTAAAAGTGTTTTTAATAAATAAATGTGCATTTAATTGACGTACTTGTGCTGTTTGCAATGCATGCGGCGGCAATACATATTCCGA